AAATGGAACGGCGTCGTGTCAATGCTTCGATGCACCGTCGTGTTTAGATACTGTTGAGCGATACTCAAGTATCTATGCCATTCAGCAGGCCTCGGAGCAGCTAATTTCGTCAAGAGCGGTATAAGCGTTCGATTAACTCTTTCTACCTGTCCGTTCGCTCTCGGAATTCCGGTCATCGTCAAAATATGTTGGATTCCCTTGTGTTGACAATACTCCTTAAAATCGCTAGATGTAAATCCCGTACCTCAATCAGAGACTATTCTACGCGGAATACCGAAAACTGTAGATTGTTTTTTCAGACGGTCCAGTATCTCGGCGGTGCCCGTTGACTGCGTGGCATATAGCCACGTGAACTTACTGAAACTATCGACAACCACGAATATATGTTTGTAACTCTCCTTCGTCGTGGCCAGTGGACCCAGATGATCGACGTGAAAGGTGTCCAATGGAATTTCGCCCTTATCGATAGTAAACAGGAATCCTTCTTGCTTTCCCTGTTTCTTCTCGGCTCAAATGCAATTTATGCAATTCTGAACTATCTTTTCTGTCCTCGCTTGCAGATTGGGTATATAATAGTCCCGTTTAACTATAGCTTTCGTTTTTGCTACTGAAAAGTGTCCCCTTTCGTGAGCTCTTCGTATAACCTGGGAATACATCGTCTTCGGAACTACCAAGCAGTAGTCGTCGTCCATTTCTTTAAATAATAGCCCGTTCCTCATAACATACCCCGAGATTTCCTTTTCTTTCATTCGGGCAATTATTTTCCTGGTCTCGTCGTCGTCGTGTTGTGCCTTCTTGAGTCGGCTAGTCGGGCTTTCGTCACTCTCATCGATAAGTAAACATGTCGGTAGCGGGTTTCGGCTTAAGGCGTCGACGTGGGGCATGTTTTTTCCGGAGCGGTGCTCGATTTCGTAATTAAACTCCTCGAGCAGGAGCGCCCATCGCGCCACGCGGACGCACAAATCTTTCTTCGCCATGGTCAGGGTAAACGCGCGACAATCGGTGACAATCTTAAACGCGATGCCGAGCAAATAAACTCTAAACCTTCGCAATGCCCTAACTATCGCGAG